AAATATCCCCATATCCCTGTGACCCTAGGAGCTCAGAGTCAAGGACTGCATACAATGACATAGCTGGTCTGCTCTAGAAAGAGCTACAGACTATGGAAACAAGTGAGTTGACACCTTAGAGCCAGGAATCACTTGTAGACCTTCAGTTATTTAGTTGTATGGGAACACCTGCCTCATCCTAAAAAGCCGTGCTTGCTATATAAGATGTGACTCAGAGACTGACCTGAAGGAGGTGGAGATCTCCAGGCAATTGTTTTGGAGATAAAGTCAATTTTATTTCTGGACAGGATATTGCGGTGATGACTGGATTCATCCATTTCTAAGTATCATTGAAAGGCTTTGAGCATAAAGGGTGGGAGGTCTGACCCCACTGTGACTCATGGTGGCTCACAGAAATCCCTTCAAGCCAGACTGCTGGAGACATGGTTCCTGGAATTAGAAAGGATAGGCCAAAGAATTCCCCTCTTTCTGTTTCTCTAATGACAGCCAAAATCTGCTCCCCAGCCTACAGTGCTGACCTGGGGAAGGAGCAGACGTTGCCCTTCTGCTGGGCTGTGCAATGGGGAAAGCAGGGGAGAATCCCATCCTCATCCTTTTTGGTGGTATAGGGAAGATGAAGAATAAGAAGCTCAAAGCACCGAGCCATGTATCAGACCCAGGGGCTGCGGAAGGCATGTGCATCCTCACCCAAGCCCCTAAGAGCTGCGTCATGCAGGAGCCTCCATGGGTGGACAGTCACAACGTGGTGGCTTCAACACAGGGCCATCAGACTGCAGCAGCAGCAGCACAGGCTGCGCTATCCCACCAGCATCCAAGAGATCTGTGAACAAGTCTGTCATGAGTAATAGTTATTCTCAGTCTCCTGGGAAACTGCAATGCTACAGCTCTGCCTCTGGGTCCACACCCAGGTTCTAGGTCAGGGATTTCAAGGCATCTCTGAAGCTCCTGAAACACTTTTCTGCTACCTGACACTTTACAGGAGCTGATCTTTGCTTCTTTTTATGTCCTTGAAGGTCTAATTTTAGTGGGAATACCTGGCCCATGGCCCTTGCATGGCTGTGCTTGCAGCACACAAATACAGACAGCAGAGCTGAGACTCAGCTCTAAGTCTACACAGCCCAGCACTGTGTGAATGAACCTACTCATGTTCAAAAGCTGTGCAGCTTTATCCAAGTGTTGTTGAGCTCAGCGTGAGCTCCCGGATCAGTAGCTTCACTGCACAAATGTAGCCTGCACCCTGGGAAGTCTCTGATTTCACAGAGCAGGTAAGTCTGTAACTGGCAAAGATGTTAGGGTACCACACAGAGGTCCACTGATGACTTCTATGAAGCACTTAGACAGGCTGTTTTGATTATGGTCTACCCAGAATGCATCAAAAACCACCTTGAAGTTTCACATTCAATATGCAAATGTCAAAGACTCAGTAACTGAATGATGCAGTGAGTAACTGCTCTCTCTTTGTGGCACCAAAATGTGTACAATGGTACCAACCTTTGTCAAGCACTTTGAGCTCCAGAGGAAAACAAAAAAGCCACGTTTGTATTAGCTCATATTTAACTGGTAGTGTCCAGTTAAATAATTCATCAAGGAAATTAGGAGGAGATTTATACTTATCAGAGAACTGTGATTTTGAAATCTCTGGAACCTCACAGTTTTCCCTGTAAGACGTGGAAGGGAGGTTAGTTTGGAGAAGGTGCCTGGTACACTTGGAAAATGCCTGTGAGAGAATGGCATTCAAGTTCCTGAAATTGCTTTATTTTTAGTATCCCTCTTCTCAACCCCACCAACTAAGAGGAGAATGTATTCACCTCATGCTGACAGGAGAAGGGGTAGGCTCCCTTGTAAGCAGAGACAATACCAGCCAAATCTGAGGTTTATTTCTTCTGTGCAGGAGAAATCTGTCATCCTTTCCTTGGGTCATCATCTCAGCATGCTTCAAGGAGCCTTGGCTTACTTTTACCTATTGTATAGCGGGAGGCTTTAACTATGCTACGCGCTGTCAGTTTATGAAATATCCCTCTAATGGATGCAGGCACAATGCTTCAGCTGTGCATTGCTTTCCGTTGGATGAGGCAGTCTCTGACTTGGCTTACTGCTACTTATGGCTACTTTGAATAGAAAAACCAGTACTCTTCAAATCATGAAAGCTGCAGAGCCAAACACTCAAGGTTTTGGGGATGCCAGTAGTAACTTCAGCTATGTGACCTTACTTGAGTTCTCTTATTCGTATGCCAGATGATGCATTTCTAAGTGCAATTCATTGTTACACCAAGCTCCTGAGCTCAGGCTTTGTATTCCATCCTTGCAAGCAGCTCAGTGCCTGCACACTCTTTGCTATCCAGTAGACACTGTTGTCCTGTGTTCTGCTGCTGGGGCACGTGTGTGAATCCTCCAGAGGAAACAACCGAGACAGGTTTAAAAGAACGCCCTGCACTCATAACAAGGATGTGACCGGTAGCCGTCAAACTGGTGAACCTGGGGAATGCACAACCCCAGGGTAAAGCTGTAAGCAGACCCGTGGTGTGATGACAGAAGGACGGCCACAAGGTCACAGTACATCATCTGCACCACTGCTATTTCTTCACCCCAACAGGAGGACAGTCTGTATCTATAAAGACACTGAAAATGAGAGGTAAAAAACCACAGCAGGCCTTGGCTGAGATTTATGGAAGCAGAAGCAGGCAAGATTTTGAGGGAAAATACAACAGTAACTGTTGACTCTAACATATATATAACACCCATCCAAAATCTAGTTCATTGTTGCCAACAAAAAGGAGCGCAAGAGGCATAAAGAGGAGTCAGTAGCCTGCATCCCTTGGGCTCCTTGTCACACAGGAGTCAGCCTAGCTGGACGCACACACATGGGTCTTGGTGCTTCTGAGGATGTGGGTATGAGGTTGGGAGTGGGGAGAGTCAGATAAAACAAAATAACCCTTTTCATAATACCTCAGATTTATATTCACTATATTCCCAGATGGGAAATAAAATCCTCCCAACAGCATGATCCATACCATGCTCCAGAGCAACCAGTCCCTTCTCACACCAAAGGCCTCCCCAGGCTTGTTCTTGCAGATCTGTGCTTCTAAGGCTAGCTACTAAATTGACTGTTCCAAAGCACTGCACAAGACCAGAACTCCAAAGGTAGCAAAAAGCCCAGCTGCATTAGGCAAACACACACATAAGGGAAAATGAAAGAAGATGATCTCCACTGGGCACATGTGTCTCATTTTATCATCACTCAGACCATCCCTTCACACTCTCAGAGGTGGCCTCTCATTGCAGTTTATGCTCCATTGCCTGTATTCACATTCTAAAAGGACTTCCTGGTCTGAAACAGAGCTGTGGTATAGTATAGAAATACCCATGGCACTGTATGCCCAGTTTAAACTGCCCAGGATGTGAATTTGTCATACTGTTCAGTGTGTGCTCAGAGCACATCCCTCGCTGATTGCAGCGAATGCAAAATGGTTCTTCAGAATCCCAAATCACATCTGCAGAACATGAAAAATAGCTAATTAGGAAACACTCATCAGACATTGCCCTGTGCCATGGCACGTACTACGGAGCACACTGTATTTCATACAGTTTTCAAGGATGCTCTTTCTGTATCCTTCTCCTGCACGCTTCTGTCCTGTTGTCTCTAAAACTTGTACCTCTGCTGGGCACTGGCCACGAGTTCGACCCTGGACAGGCTGTTAAGGCTCACTGTCCAACCTGCCTCTTCTTTTCCTTGTACCAGGTCCATCTCCCCTGCTCTCTATAACTAAATTACAGGCTTCAGCACTTCTTACACCCCCTCTGGGCCTAGGATCAGGGAGAGCCTACAAGAGGAAGGTTTTCCACCCAGTGCAGGGGTGCAGGATCCAGAGCTGTAACTGCAGGACCTCTGCTCAGACTCACCTGGAGCATTTGATCAGGCATTTGATGCTTTGGGGGCATTAGAGTTACAGCAAGGTTCTACATACGTAGCTGTCTTAAGGATGGTAACTGTGCCCAAAGATGGAGAATCTTAAGATATTGCCTTTAGCTTCAGAAACATCTTACCTGTAATATATGTATGCCCTTGAAAACATTCACTGAAAGGGAAAAAAACATTCACTAATGTAATATACAGCCCAGTCCAAATGTCTCTGGTTTGCAAATCTGTGTTAAAGTGTTGGGTAGACAGAGCATCACCTCTCGTAAGGCTCACCTCTGCTGTCAGTCTGTCCATCAGCTCCAGCTGATCATCAACCTGCAACCTCTGTCACACCAAAAGCTCCCTCAGATGGAGCTCCCAGTACCTGCACCCGTCACAGTGATTTTCCAGAATGATGGGATGATGGCTGATGCATGAGCTGTCGTGGCAACGTGTCCTGCTCCAACAGTGAAACTGTTTGCTCCCAAAGTTTTAGGCCCTTCAGTGCCTGTTGTCTTGTGCCTGAGGGATTGCAGAGTGCAAGCTCCCACCTGTGTCTGATGATGAGTATCGTAAATCAAAGACACCATTCAGACAAAGCTCTGAAAATGCTCTGAAATCAATGATTTATGGGCAAGAAAGAAACTTTGAACATCTAACACAACTGAGCTGTCAGCAGACGGCAAGCAGAATAATCACAACTGAAGTATTTGTTCTTGAGTCTTCTAAGCTACAGACACACAGGAAAAGAAGAAAAAAAAGGACACAACAGAAAAAGGTAAAGCATTAAAGAGAAAAAGATGAATTCGAAATGAAAAGGAATTTTTTCCCACTTTGAATCATACTTTGAAGATGCCTTGCTTTAGTTTCCTGAGGAGAGTGGCCCAGCTGGCAGGTGATGCTGACAGGACAAAGCCACAAGAGATGTGTGGCCATGCACAGGAGTGCAGATGCTCTGAAGGCTCAGAGCAGAAGGCCAAGCTGCTAGCAAAATCGAACTTTCAGAAGTAGATTTCCAGGCAGACTTCTTCTCTCAACTTGTTTGTGACCAGAGAGAGAAAGAATCCTGCAAAATACTGGATGCCATATGAAGATTTGAAACATTGCATGTCCCGAAAGGGAGACTCTAGATAAAACCCCAAAACTTGAGTAGACAAAGTTTTTAATTCCTGAAGCCACATGACTCTATAGGTAAATGCAACCATAATGATGACCATTTGTTTCACTGAGTGAACCAAAGATGCTTTTGGGAAGGGTCTCTTGATCTCTCTTCTCCTTTTGCCTTAGACAGGGAAGCTCTTCTGTTCATTACTAGCTTAAGCTGAGTAAAATCACTCCAGAAATCTCAGTAAAGGATTTATTAATGAATACAGAACACCAAATGTGTAGCCTTCAAAATGGTTTAGTTCAACATTTGCACAACTTGTGTTGAAGTTAAGGTGGGAAGAAGATGGCATTGGCTTCCTGTACCTCCTTTCCTCATGCTATCCCCTCCCTTTGTGTCTTCTCTCTGAGTCTCTTCCTCCTCCTGCTGTCATCACATGCTTCCTCCCCTCTCAGCTTCTTCCTCACCCCTCTTCTCCCTCCTCTTTGCTACCAGTGGGTGAACACTTGCTGCTAGAAAACACATGTAAATCCAAAGTGTTTTTCTTTTGACTGAGGAAAGCAAATGTAGCATCCAGTTTGTGGCTTTATCCCTTACTCATATGTGCACACACTCGTTTTTCCTCTCCTCGGGAAATGTTTTAGTGTTTAAACAATGTTTTAATATTTAAATAATTAAAAAGTGATAAGGATGACTACAAAGGGTTATGAGGGACTCTGAATTTAAATTGGAACTGTGTGATTACAACGAAGGAAGATGCAAAGGGAAAAATGAAGGAATAATGTCCACTGAGCAGACCTTGGGAGAGAAGGGCTAGCTTCCCAAACTCTCATGCAGAGGGTTTTCCAAGACTACCAGACCCCTCTCTCTTGTAGAGCAAAAATAGGCTAAGGTTCCTGCTTCTCTCATGTGCTTTGGCGTGCTATCTTACGTATCTTCTCATACAGAACATATAGGTCAGACCTTGTGCAACTGAAATCAGGGAATGGGTCTGATTTAATCTGAATGGGTTCAGAATATGTCCCAGGTTACTGTGGCTCTCAAACCATCCCATCACCCCTCTTTTAAGTGCACAGTATTAGATTTTTAGGTATTCAGCATTCCTGAAGGTTTATTTGTTGGTAGAGAGTAGAGATCTGCTCTCACTGGACAAGGGCACAGTGCAGAGGCTCTGCATGTTTGAGATCTCTAGTAGAATAGACTAGACTAGGACACTTCAGTTGGAAGGGATCTACATCTGTCCAACTGCCCGACCACTTCAGGGGTGATGTGTTGCAAAGGTTACAGGAGGAAGTGGGACTTTCCTTAGGGGGTCAAAGCAGTACCTGCATATCAGTGATACAAATACTGCGACTTATGAAGCCTTGATAAAGGGTAGCAAACCAGCACTGGATTCAAAGTGAGACACTGTTAACACCTTGCGAAAGAGCAGGCGAGCTGCAAGGCGAGGTAGTCATTTCAGTCTTTTTACTCAGCTGTGAAAGACCTGCACAAGGCATAGAATTATTTCTAAGTTTATACTAAGACATTGGGAAAAACTGGTTTTCTTTTTCCTCTTTTCCATTTATAAAAGGAACATTTTTCTCGCTTCACAGCTGGCTGCTCCAAGTTGAATATGGAACGAGGCACACTGGTGTGGCATTCAAGCTAATTTCCAAAGCACAAGGAGAGTTATTGCTCTCCTGTGCCATAAAAGGTACAGCTTTTGAAATGCCCTTTTTTTGTGTTGTTTTGTTATTCAAAATCTTTTCCTGCTAAGAACATTAAGTTCTGCAAACTACTCCAGACAGCTGCAGTCACATGAATTTTCTTTGCCACCTCAAGAAGGACACATCTCACTCGTCTTTAAATGCACCAAAATTGTGCAATCACCAGAGGATATCTTACAGAGAAATGTTCCACTTTTATCACTTGCTATCAGAGATATCTGTTCTCCCAAAGCAGTTCATTTATGAACTAATTCCACAGAATGAGCATCTTATCTGGGATGAAATATCCCAAACGACTGATCTGAGAGATACCTGGGTATTTACATGATAAAAGAACAACATTCAAAGGCAAATTTAAAAGCCAAAATGTGGGATCCTTTAGCTGCCATTTGACAATAATGTAAAGGTGCATTGATCATAGTCCAAACTTAGTGTTTAACTACATGTTGTCTAACTGTGGATGGGATGTCCAGCATTCTCCAAAGTGGCTTTTTGGGGCTTAGTTCTCTATATGAGAAAAAGCTCTCTGAATTCTATGTGATATAGCACTGGTGGCAGATGCTGAGCTAACAGGTTGGTGTTTGCTATCTAATTATGCAAAGAACAGGCATCCAGTTTTCTTCAACTTTACCTTAGAAAAAGCTCCTGTGTATTAAGAAAGTTCTCTATTCAGCAATGTCTACCTTACTCTCCACTTCTCTGAGAGTATCTTCACAAAACCATGGATTTATGAAATACATCTGTTCATTCATTCTGAGCAGATCATGACTTTTCAGACCCCAGTTCAGAAGGGATGCCTTCCTATCCAGCTGTCCTGGTTAAACCATGACGCCAGTTGCATGGATCTAAGCCACCAACATAAAGGTCTATATCTTGACCACTTCCATGTTGCTATGAAGAGACAGAAAAGAAGGAGGAAGGACTGATGTGAATAGACTGTTGCTTTAGTGTTTAAGTACCAGGAGAACACACACACAGCCCCAGTGGTAAAAAGGCGCAGTCACACATATAACAGTGACACACATGCAGAGAATCCCATCCTGCAAGCCAAACCAAAGTCAACTTGACAAAGAGAGTTCCTTCCTGGGAAGAGTTTGCTTTCTCTCCTTTAGGGGTTTCACACCATGATCATCAGCCTGCACTACCAGAACCTCCTCTGTAGTTTTACCACCTGTGGTTGCACACTCCCTAAGTAGGCCAGGGCTCCACATCTTCCCACCATTTCAGCTCTAGCTATATCTATGTGCCGTGCAGGCTCACTGTTTAACTCACAGCTACAATCGGCTCAACTGCAGAGATGTCTGTCTTTCCTGACTGGATGTTGGAAGCTGACGAAATGACACGGGAGGCCTGCAACCTCTTGAAGTTGCTGTTTTCTGGCCAAGCCAGTCGGTAGGATGGGGCTGTGGAGGGAAGCCTCTGTTCCGCGGGCCTGGGAGGCTTTCTGCACATGCTGAGCAAAGCTTTGAGTTCTGATCGGAAGCTGTCATTGAGCCAGCAGTAGATGAAAGGGTTGTAGCAGGTGCTGCTCATTGCGAACCAGTGAAAGGCAAAGTACAGGGCATTGTTAGTGTGGATGGTCTGGCTGGAGAGGAGGAGGACGTAGCAATTCAAGGGGAACCAGCAGACTGCGAAGAGGATGACAACAAGCATCAGCATCTTTATGGTCTTCTTATTCTTCTTGCGAAGGGCAAAGTACTGCTCAGTGGTGACATCACCAATGACATTGCGCAGCCAGAGCTTCTTAGCCACTGTCACGTAGGCAGCAGAGATGATCAGAAGGGGCAGGACATAGAGCAGAATGAAGGTTGTTAAGTCGAGGTACTTCCAAAAGAGGTCAGCAGGCTCAGGAAAATCTGGCAGGCACAGACACCGGGTAACCTCCTCACTGCAAGTGGAGACACCAGACAGGGGTGAGAGCACATACTGCCTGACAACTGTGAGAAGAGTACATCAGAAACAAGGAGGAAGGTAGGAGAAGGCTCCTGCCATAAAGCCTGGAGGCAGACCCTTTGTTTACCCACATGTCACAGATAAACCAAGCTCTGCTGTCCAGGATTTGAGCCATGGAGTAGCCTGTGAGCAACAAGGTGATAATTTCCCATGGGCATTCATGACCTTATAATTATTTTATGAATTCCATCGATTACAAGATTTCCAGCTGCACAGAAGCAGGTTTTTATTTTCTGTCCTTTGGCAAACAGAAAATCAGTCTCTGCACTTATTAAAAGACCTCATCCTCATTAAAGCATTTTCCAAATACCAGTGTTCATGACAGCATTTTATGGAGCAGGGAGCTGAGGCAGGTTTTTTGCACTTTCCCAGGGCTGATGAGCAGATTAAAAGCTGTCAGCTTTTATTTTTTTCCTCATTTCTGGTCAGATTGGTACATTGTGTAAAACATCAGTGTACAGAGATAAAGGGTGCAGGCCAGATCCTCTAACTTCCTTGCCTATTTCATGCGATTAGTGTGAAAGAATAAAGATAATATGATTAAAAATAGAAACAAAGACAGGACATAAGCCATTGCAAAGGCATCTGATGAAAATTACAGACTAGATATTTGGCTGACCTCAGCATAAGCTAAGGGCTTTCAGTGGAAGATGCCAAAGTACAACCACTGAGAGTTTCGCCTCTTGGGAGACTGTGGAAGAAAGCAAAGCACATCCTTACCTGTACTCAAAGGTAAAGAGTTTTTGGTAGATAGCATGTGGTAGAGAAAAACAGGTTGCCATGATCCAGATTACAGAGATGTAAATAACACCTTTTGCAGTAGATATGCGAGGTTTCAATGGGTGCATTATAACCTGTGCAAAATAAACCAGTATTCAGTCTTATGATATTTCAGGAAATAATGACATCAATTTCTCATATGATCTTCTGGCCTTAAATCTATTACTTCGTGTGGAAATGTAGCATGCCAGCAGTACAGTCTTCACCCAGCTCCCATTGATTACAAGCTCTACATGAAAGCCTGAACTTTTCTCCATGGAAGTGAATAAAGTCACATCCCAGTCCTGCCCTCACTTTTCAGTATTTGTGCCTAGGTGGGAAAAACTGGGTACCAGGGAGTCTCACACACGTTTTAAGCAGACCTGCCTGTGGATGCTTCTGGGAGCCAGTGCATTTCCTAGAAACGAGAAGCTTTGTAATAGAAAATGTCAAATGTCAACTTTTTGTGTGGTTGTTGAGTGCCTGCAAACCAATAATGCCTGACTCACCCCAGTTCTGAGCCCATTATCAAGAGCAAGCCACAGCTCTGCTTGTGACAAAGACCAGTGTGCAACAGTCATCTCTCTGGTGTTTAGGGTATCTTAAAGGGAGGCAGAACTGTGGAAGCTGTCTCGGATGTCCCTGCATCCATGGTGCTGGACAAACCACCCCAGAAGAGAGCTGCCCACATGAATTCCTGTCAGGCTCTTGGACTTTCTTCTCATTTGAGACCTATTGGATTATCTACTGCAGAAAAGCTCCCATTCCCTAGCCAGAAGTGATTGCAAGGCGATGGACAACTCCCGTCTTCCACCTTGCTGCAGGCTTGAAACTGTTCTTTCTATCTGACAGCAAGAACTGCTTCCCCACCCTGTGAGCTCCTCAGGCATCTTAGATTAATCTGGGAGCTGAGAAGGAAAGGCCATGGGAATCCTTTCTCATTTTAAATATGTTCTCCCAAGCTTTCCATCTATCTGCTTCAGAGAGCTCTCACCTGGTGCCTGTCCACGGCAATGGCTGTGAGGGTCAATGCAGAGACATGGAGAGAGCAGTACTGTGCAAACCTACTGACATGGCACATCCCCTTTCCGAATATCCAGGTACTGTTCACAAAACGAGCCTAAAACCAGAACACCATTAGCTTTGTGCACCCACACACACACCTCCACATGCACATCTGAGACACCCCTTGCACATCATTCTTTGTGCTATGGAAAATGTATTTTGTAAAACTGCAGGTTCTTTATATAATCATATCATTTTCTGGCTTCTGAAACCTGAAGAGTTCAGTGCTGCTCAGTGGCCCAGCAGTATCCTCCAGGACAATACTGCAGCACAGTACTAAAGATGTTTGTTCTGTTTTATCCACAGTGTGTCCTGCAGCCTATTGAATCAATACATTTCTCCTTTCTACTTACAGAATAGGGCTGACCTATACATTTTACCTTACTTCAAAGCAAAGCTTTTCAACACAGCTTGTAGAACTAATCTTTTATTTTTCATCAAGAGGTTCATAGTATTACCTTGGAAATACTTCAGAAAAGGGAAGGGGAAATAAGACCGGATACTATAAAGTACCCAGTAATCACTGTGACATTATTACTGTTCAGGTACTAGCAGGGCCACTTTTAACAAATGGATAATCTCAGAACTTCAACTAGATAACAGGAATTAAGAGAAGAAAAAGACAGATGGAGTTTTCCAAGCATAACTCCAATCACTTTAATTTGAACTGGACAGAACAGCACTGCCTACAGTAGCATAAAGAAGAAAAGGCCACCAAGTACCTGTGATGCCTTTATGGCATCTCTGCCCCAGTCTTACCAGTGTAAAAGGTGTGTTGAGGAGCGTGATCATGATATCAGCTACAGCCAGGTTCACAATGAACAAGCTGGTGGCGGAGCGCATGCGCTTGGTCTTGATGACAACGTGACAGACCAGGACATTGCCGAAGAGGGAGAAGACAATGATGACAGAGTATGCTGCGACGAGCAGGGCTTTCACAGTGATGCTCTGCGACTCCGCTCCATACCGGCTCCTGCCCACAAAGCTCTGCCACTCAGCCAGGCTGTCGTTATCCCAGGAAAAGAAACCCGAGATGTTCTGGATCACGAAAGTCTTCTCCAGGCTCCCATTGGGGGACAACTTTCCTGGGGTTACAAAGGTGTTAACCAGGTGGGGGAGGCAGAGCCAGATGAAACAGGACAACATCTCTGAAACGCAGCTCTGCTCCTCAGAATTGGAAATAGCTCACTTGCAAGACAGCAGAGCTCGCCGGTGTGCCAGCAGAGCTGTCCTCCCCTCGCTCAGCCCAGGCGCGCTCAGCATCAGGAGCAGGATGTTCTGGATTCTCTCCCGCTCAGCCTGCTGCTACTTTTGCTCCTTCAGCCAGCTTTATAGCCCGAGGCGAGCTCCGCGCCGGGATCTTGTGCAGCCATTGGGCTGCATGACATTATTTGTGCTCTGACGTGCTGCTTTTCCATGCAGTCACACTCCCCCAAGCGCTACCCCAAGATAAGCACATCAGAGAGAAAGGCAAATCAACTGTCAGCATCCTTTTTCTCTCCCGGCAGCCAGGCTCACGCAAATCCCGTCCTGCTTATAAACCAGCAGCGCGTGTGGCAGCTCTGCTGTCTTCCAGAACACAATTCCAATTTAAGTTCAGTTTTAAAGGTCTGGCAGGCAGGTTGCAGCTTATTTCACAGCATGACACTCACTAACTAGCATAGAATAAGGGGCAACAGATAAAACTGTGAGTAACAAGCCAGCTTACTTTACTCATTTTTCCAAAGACCTTTTTCGCCTCAGAGATGGAGAAATACTTAAGACTTCCCCTTTGAAGAGATTTCCTCTTGGCTAAGGGAATAGAAGTTTGATGCGAAACTCTGCTTTCTAGTGTTTATAGAAATACACAGGTAGTTACAAAGTGATAACGTGGGATAGAAGATGGGATGTCCCAGCCCAGTGAATTCAGTATCCAAAGAAACAGGCTGTATACTGGACAAGCATTGAGGAGAGGGCAGCATGCTGTGACAGTGTGCTATCCCCAACCACACCTTCACTTCCCATAACCCTGCTCAAGTGGCAACCAGTCATGGTCCTAATGTTGCATCTGGTGATGACATCTTCATCTAGGTCAACATGGATTGGGGGGAGACAGGTAACAACACAATAACCAAGGGCTAACTGGTAAGTGGTTAACTTGCTAAACTTTGAAGTCTTAGCTAAGTGATGTAAAGGATTGATTGTGCACATATAATCCTTTAGACATAAAACACTGACCCCATCTGGGACTAAGTCGGGATCCAACTGCACCTAGACTCCTGAGTTCAGAGTACAAGAGAGTCCTTTCTGAACCTCATGACTGATAATTCTGTTTGACCCTGTCCTCTATGCAGTAAATGCTCAAGTGCATTTTGTCACCCAGTCTTGTTGAACCACTGTCCCATTCACTAACAGACTTTGTTAAATCACTGGTTTACATCAGTAAACATACTGTTACTTCTTGCTTAGGAGTGAGGTGTGTCATTCCCTGTGCTTTCCCCCCAAAACACAGTAGTAAACCTAAAATCAGCATCAGACCAAATCCCACACAGCACAGAAAGACATGTTTCTTCATGCCTACATGTGTAAGGTGCTGCCCATCTGCTGGGGACAGATCTGCTTGTGTGGTGTCAACTAACCCCAGCCAGGGCAGGCTTTTACATAGGAGGCTTTATTTAACTATCAATTAAAAGACCATTATCTGAAAAGCTTGTATTAAAAGCTGGTCACTCACTGGTGAAAATAACACTTCCAGAAGATGCTTCTGACTCCCCCAGTGACCCACTCAGGCTACTTTCTCCTCAGTACAACCAGCCCACAGCGCTCCTCTGCACACTGCTATCAGCATCCATGTCTTCCACAAAATTGTCCAATTTAAGCTCTTTTGGATTTGGTCCATCTTGGAAGGAGCTTTCCAGAGAACCTGCTGGAACTGCTAAGGTAGCAGTCAACTGTGACCTTTCAGAGAGAAGAAATCTGTGTCCAGCCTGGAAGCAGCTGACCAATGAGGTGCCCCTGATTTGATGCTGCCAGGAAAAACAGTCTCACAATGTAACATAAAGGTTGGGAAAAATGGGAGGAAGTGGGATAGGGCAGTGTTCTGGTGCAGGTTTGGGATGAGAACAGAGTGGGCAGAGGCACCTGTCTCTTCCCACTGGGCTGCTCCAGCAGCTCCCAGGCCTCTTCCTTTTCAGGGCTCCTGACCAGTGCATAAGGGTATTCCATCCTCTGACATTCAAATTCTATTTGTTACTCTTCCACATCTAATCAGATCCTGCCCCCCTGTACTGTAATGCATATATTGGCAAAACCCATTAGTTCTGTGTATTTACTCCCCCAGTCTGATTCTTCGTTTCTAGCAAGATACCCTGGCATATGCAGCCAAAGCCACCGGTGCCTTTGAAGACCAGGTGTGTTCCAGGAGAGCAGGCAACCTTCTCCTCACCTCCTCAGCCAGGCTGCAAAAGAGAATGGGAATCTCCTCCCATGAAGCCCAAGCCCATGCTCCTCGGAGCTAGGCTGACTGTCTTGTGATCCAGAGGAGGTAGGGTCCCACCACACACAGGGCAGGCCCACCTCAAAAACCCCCAAAGGGTCATGGAAAAAAAACAGTGGAAGGTCCCTGGGTTATGTCTCTCCCATGTCACCCATGTGCTCTCACCACCACCATTCTGCTTCTGTTTGTATTTAAATATACCCCAGTATGAACAGGCTGTAATGGATTCGTCAGCTCAGTACCTACTAACTTCACCCTTACTCCACCATTCCCAGCACCCACTGGCAGCAAAGGAAGCAGCTGCATCAGAATGTCAGGATTTGGTAACTGTATCTGGTACTTCTGTAAAAGGTATTTGTGAAATGAGGTAATTTATAAAGTGGAAAGTATTTAGAAAATGTTTGAGATAAAGGTATATGGCTCATGAATTCAGGTCATCAAAAAGTCAAAACCATCCTTGCAATAACACCCTTAACAAAATAACTAGAAAACAGACCTGGTGAAAACAAAGGTGTAAGAAGAATATAAGTCACCCAGACACACTAAAAAAATGAAGGCTGAAGCACTGCAATGGGCTGTAATCACAAACAGAGTACCCTTTGATACTTCTTTAATTCTAAAGTAGCATTCATTTCCATATACTGTGACATTTTGCAACAGTGGGCTTGGTTTTCCTCATAGAACTGAAAGTATTAAAATACCTTCCAGCTTCAATACTGAAAACTGTATTTTTAGGTCAAAGTGTTACTCTTCAGAGTTTACAACTCTATGCATAGAAAACTGCAAATAAGTACAAGTTCTCTTGCGCTGACAAAGTCCATACCCATATCCATACTTGTGTACTACTATAAATTTACTCCTCTGCAAAATTCAAGCCCAAGAGATAGAGTTCTATAGAAAAGATATAATTGTTATTTACAGTATCACCCCAAAAACAAAACAGCCTTTTAGAAGTTTTAGAAAGAACTTGCAGCTTCAGGCAGTATTTCAGATTATCAGACACTTGTGTCTAATGCATTCAGCAGTGCAAAACCCAAACTACACCGAATTTGGTGCCACTGGAAAAAATCAAAACAGAACAAAACCAAAAACATTTCATAGAAGTGAAAATTGAAGGCATTTACAGAGAAATGTCATAAAGAGAACGCTTTGCAAACTGCTTTCCATCCTCTTCACTATCTTTCATGGTCTCTCTTGTATAGCAAGCCAGAAATTACTTATTTCCTTCTTGATGTTGCAGTGCTTTGGAATGGATCAAATTCATCCTGCAATTTGTAAACAGATATATGTTACTGAACTAGATGAATTTAGAGCCATAGAAAATACAATCACTTTTAGATTAAACTAGAAAGTCTGGTCATATTACTCCATGTTTTCTGACAGACCTGGGTTTATTGGTTGTGATATGAAAGATATTATCTATGGATTTAAAGGCCATCAGTCATTCACAAGTGCAAAAAACCCATATATATAGCTATATAATACTTCCTTTCTATATGAAAAAATTAAACAACAAATAAAAGGACATAGCCAAGCACTAGGAGAGATTTACAATTACTTTCTTCCACAGGCAAAATAACCTATTCCACACATGTCAGGAATGACAATGAACTGATTAAGAACTGAAGGGAAAAATAACTGGATATTTTCCTGAGGTCTCTTCTAGCCTTGTATCTGATGATTCTGTACAGATTCTAAGTAAAGCTCGTTGCAATAATCTAGTCCTGTTAGTGAGGGGAAAAAAAAAAAACCAAACAAAATAACCAAAACTATTTTCCTCTGAAATGCTTTATTTAAGTAGCTTAGAACAGTAAGTTACAGGAACTTACATGAAATAAAGGCAAAAAGACACCCCTATTACCATACCTCATCTGACTCAAAATCAACTCCTCTAGATGTCCGGCTTTGTGAACTGCTTTTACCAAGTGAAGGTGTAGACGACAACCTCGAAGCATACAAAAAGAAAAGGCATCAGCATGTTCTTGATTACCAGATATTTCAATAAATTGCCCTTCATCTTAGATTTGGACCACCAACAGAGAGATTAACAACAAAGAGAAGTAACATAAATAGAACAACCCAAATTCCCAAACTCTAAAGCTCTGACCTAGCTTACCTCAAGCAGTAGACCAATTTATTGTTAGAGAAAGATCTACCACATTAATAGTTTAATGAATAATTAAAAAATAAATAATAATAATAAAAAAAAATATAAATTTTCTAAATAGGGATATGACAGTCTTAAAAATCTGGTTTTCCAGACAGTGGATCAGATCCATGGACTCTGATGACTGCCAATCAGAGATATATCAGTTATGGTAGTGATCATGAAGTAAACATACCAACCTTAGATTGACTTTAGAAGAAGAAGCAGTAGAAACTGCTTCTACATCGGAGTCATCATCTATAATATCCTGGAAAAGAAATACCATTTATAAAGCTTTTTCACAGTGATAGAGACCATAGCATTACAACATAGAACCTTTGGGGGTTTTCCAACTGTATCCCCACTTTGTTATAATATATATGCATATATATATACACACATATATATATATATATATATATATATATATATGAGACAGGGCTCCAGGCTAGTACTGGACAATGTACAAATACAGCACAAGTTTTGCTCTTCAGATCTTTGATAGTGCAGAATTCACCAAAATACTCATGTACCTACAGTCTGCATCGTAGGCTATGGTCACAAATAAAAAAACCCTGGTCTTTGTTTTTCTCAGACAAATATGATAGCAAGAAAGGGTGCAAAAGGTCTACAACTGACCATGCAGAAACTTGCTGCTGGAGCTTACAGTTTGGGAACATCTCCTGGTTTAAGGCTAATATTTTGACCATATATTTATTATTCAAATCAAAAGACAGCACAATTTTACTCATGCAAAAGTGAACTCTTACCTCAGAGTAAGATTTAGATGAATTCAAGGGATCTGGTTTCAAAGACCTAAAGGCTAGAATAAAACAAATGTAATATTTTTAAAGTGCTCACACAATTACATGCTGATGTTTTATCATTTGTTTTATTTAAAACCTGCACAGCAGGCATTTCCTCTACAAAACAACCTGTAAAACAAACAAGTAAACCCCCACAAATCCAACCCAAAACATAAATTAAGCCTTTGCTAGAGCACGACATCCCAGGGATCTATCACTGCTGTGCAGCAGTAGGTGCTTCCCAGTTCTGCTGAAAAACCTTCAGTAACTTCAGTTAAGAGGTGAAAAATATTATTGTAACTGATATTCCTGTATGTCTAATAGTTTAGACATTTGCTAACATTGATTTATCTGCAGTATTTTAGGTCATTTGCTGTTCAATTTCAAATCTAGGTAATCTGCTAATTAATTTAAAGCTCACTCTACCTTTAGGCAGTTTGTGGAGTCTCATGTATAGATTTGTGAACAGTATTTTTTTCTTTATTGCTCAAGATTAAATGTGCTGTTTCCTCAGAGCCTCTCCCCTCTGGAGCAAGGAAGGGCTACTCTCACACATGTGGTTTAAATCACAGGTAAGTTTCTCTTCCCTATTAAAATCCAGCATTCCCAAAATTTACTACAACATAAGACTAAATGGATTTGCATTAAAGCTCACAAATGTGTAAACATCAATCAAGTTTAAACTTTGTATCCACTGAGGAATATTCTACATATAATAGATACTGTTAAGTTGCATTCATTCTATGCTTATTCCTTAAGGCTCTGCATACAGTAAGATGTTCCCTATCTCCATGTCTAGACAGAAGTTCCTGACACATTTCATTTTACTCCATGGCAGCAGGATATCACTATTCTGTTCTTCCCCTCCATTTGTCTTTCTCTCATCATTGTTTCTATTTCATTGGACCCAAAAGAACCTCTCACAGCTGAATTGGACTAATAGAAATAAAGGCAATCTAGGCACTTCATCGTTAAACAAACATCTTCATTACAATTTGAGAAAGCAGATTAGAGCAACGCACAAATCAAAGTCC